GCGTAGCTACATATATATAATATAAATATTATATTATTATCGTCGGGTCTCGGCCGAAACCGGCCACGTCATTATAGTATAATATTATATGGAATAAATAACGGAAACGTTCCGAATTTGAAACGCGTATTATGTATTATGAATTCGTATACATATATCATTAGGTAGGGACATAACACGCAACTCAAAGAAACGCACGTACCTATATCGCGTATATAGTTGGTAGGTAATTAAGTTATTTTTTGAAACAAATGAATGTGGCCAAGTTCTGCGCAGGTATATTAATAAGTAACGAAAATAAAAACTTCAACTCAATGGAGTTTACGGATGTATATACCCATATAATATATAGATGTATACGAGCGAGTGTGGGCGACGAAAAATTGTCCGACGATTTTTCGGAATATTTCTGCCTTCGCAGCGCGTCACAATATTACGTGTGGGGGGAAAGAAAAAAAACAGTGACAAATGACGAAAATGACTACGACGACGAGTAGTCGTACGGTGTATACTCGTATGTAGTATAATAATAATAATAATAATAATATTATAATATTATATTTACCACTGCACGCTAGAAAATCGTCAATGTCATCGTCGTTAAATAAACATGGCATCGGTAGTAATATAGTAGTCATAGCAGTGATGGTGTAGTAGTAGTTGTGCCTACGGTGTACAGCGTTGGCGAGTCGGAGTCATTAAATTGTCAAGTGTTTTTTTGGTGGGCGGGTACCCGGGGGGCTTGTTCGTCGTCGTCGTCGTCGTCGTCGTCGTATAACTGCCACCGAGCCGTGTCGAAGTGAAGGCTGCATTGCACGGAAACGCGTATTATATATATATACGTATAGTATACGCCTACCCGGACCGGGGCGGGAAAGAAGAGGAAACCGAAAATGAAAAAAAAAAAGTACAAAATTAATAACGATAATAATAACGAAAAGGAATGATAGAAAGAATAAGGAAGGAAGGAATAGGAAGGAACGAGAGAGAAATTAATAACAATAATATATGCTATAAAATTCATATTTCCCAATTATGCCTCGCAAAAGCGGCCAATATTATCTCGGTAAAAAATCACATTGCTGTATACGCGTACCTATAAAAAATGTATGCTCGCATATTAATGCTATGTGCATTACGAGAATTCACATTGTGTAGTTTATCAATTAGCATCGTATTATTATAGCGTTATAACGATGCACTCGTGTCGCCGGTTTTCATATAATACATCACATAATCGGCGACAGCGGCGACGGTCGTTATAATAGTATACTTTATATTGTTGTTGTGTACAACGGAACGAATAAAAACGCGACTTTGATTGCCGCGGCTGTATAGCGTTATGAAAAAAGTGGAACAGTTGTAAAAAAAAAAACTCCATATTCTCTCCCCTGCGATATTTGAGCGTTCGCTGCTGCAGGGCCGTCGACGGATTTGAACATTGTACTCTATTTTTTTATTTTTGTCATTTCAAATGCCCTCGAGGTCCATCACTCACACACACACACACACACACACACACACACACACACACACACAATTACGTGTTATACTTGCTATGTATATAATGTATATATGTACATTCCACGGTACATATAGTGTCCGGCGACCCGCAGAATATTACGTGCGGCGATCGGTGATAAAATGGTTTTTCTTTGTTCGATTCGGATAAAAAAAACCGAAGATGCGGCTGTGTATATATAGGTAGGTAAATACACAGTGTATACGCACAGAGAGAGAAAGAGAGAGAGAGAGTGAGCGTATGGTATGGGAAACTATTCGCGTCATTAAGGCAATCGATTTCAATCTATTTCGCTATACTTTGAAGGAGACGACAACTACGTCCTTTATTTATTTATTTTCCCTCCGGCGATCTTCAGGCCCGAGTACACCGTAAAAATATACGTCGTATACTCGTACACCGACTACCGAGTCGCTTATCACTCTATGCTGCAGCAGCGTCCTATAGTCGTGGCATTAGTACCTACGCATATTACATTGCGCGAAGCTGTCGCAGTCGTCGCGTATTGTCGTGCATTGTGCGTTTTTGTATTCTCCGAGCAAATATACTGCCGCGAAACGGGCCAAGGGGTTATGCGCGTCGTCGTCGTCGTCGTCATCGTCGGCGGGGGGAAGTGTTTTTGTACGGCCGATTAGGCGTACGGCGATTAAAGGGCGAGGGTGAGCGCGTTCAAAAGACCGTTAACAGGATAAAAGAGAGTGTACGAAAACATAATAATAATAATAATATATATTATGTACACTGACACTGGCACACTGCAGTGTATAGTACATAATAATATTATATTATATGCGTGCGCGTTGTTTGTATTAAACCGTATAGGGCCGATGGTGACAGAGAGTGAGAGAAAACCGAGATTCGACGAATATACGCGAGTTGTGTGTCCGCGTGAAAAATCGGCACCGACGACCGAGTTTATTATTGTGCACAGGTACGCGTATACTGTATATATGGTATACCGGCGGTACCACCGGTTCGGGCCAGGATTTCGAAAATCCTTTCTGCCCCTGCAGCTCGCAGATGGTCGACCGCACGACTGTTTAATGCTTGTTTAAAGATTATAATAAATAAATATAATAATATAGATCCGTCCGAGTGCATTTGCAACGACTACGACGACGGTGGTGCAACGCGATCATGATTATTATTATATACTGTGCACGTGAAATGGGCTGCGGTGGAAAATAATATATCATATCGAACGAATATTTTAATTATTACAATATTCACAGCAGCAAGTGATAAAATAATAAGCTCGCATGCCGTAACGGCAATAATCTGAATATATACGTTATAAATAACATAATATTTTAATTGGGCGATCATTATTGGTACCTATCTATTTGGTACATCATTTGACAAGGCTTATAGGATCGGGGCTGACTTATGGGTGGGCGCTCAATCGGTTTTCAGTGAATCAGTTCATTGTTTAATCGGAACTATCAGTAAATTATAGTACAGCTACAGACGTGTACAAAATATTATAATATCGTTTGTATACTTTACCATAGTGTTTCCACCCTCGCAGTATCTTCGATTAGGGACCAAAAATACTCTCAGAAATCAGCCAATCAGACCGGTTGTTGTACAGTGTGGGGACTCATATGGAGTATTAGGTTGGGAAAAAAAATGAATACTTTTATACAATTTTTAATTTAATTTTTACATATCAAGTATAATTTTTTTAAATGTATTTTTAATCAATAATACTATTGTATTGACAATTCTAGGGGTGGGTGGCAATGATTGGGTCTAGGAGGGGCAATGCCCAAATTTGTCTCCACCCCCGTCCTGCTAAAAATAGAAAATTTCATCTAGGCCAATAACTTCCTATGTAAACCGACTATGGCTAGTTTGGACAATCGTTACGATAATAGGCTTCATCGAGGATAGGTATAACTCTATCGATTTTGGAATCGATACGCGTTGTGCACCCTGTAATTATTAATATAATATTATTTAACCGTATGTATGGAAGTAAAAATCGGAACTCACGTGAGCGGGCGGCGTCCGAATTTATTGATAAAAACAACAACAATAATAATAAACACAACCATAATAATGACGCGTGGACTTTTTTTTTTTAAACTGTCGCGATTGTGTTTGCATTAAACGTGATTAGTGTGTATTCGGCGGCGGCGGCGCCGGGTAGCTATGTGGGGGTGGCGACGGCGAGGGGACGACATCCTTTCAAACAAAATCACCGTCGCCTTTTGTGCCTCACTATGTACACACTTCCTGTTTATTATAATTCGGTCGTTCGTATCCGCGAAAAAAATTAATAACGGGTTATTGACGTCCACCGTCGTCGTCACCGGGTCCGTCCGTCCGCAGCGGCGGTGGCGTGAAAACGACGTTTTCGCCTGTGAAACGCACACACAAGTTTATAAACCGATTTCGGTCGTCAGCTCAACACAATAAAATGTATATACGTATAATTCGTTGCTTAGAGTAAAGTATCGTGCGACCGTCTATTTTATAATCTGAAACATCACATTATATGTACGTAGTACATACGTGTCAATATATATTAGTGCACACACATATTTATTTATTTGATACGCCATGCGTACATCATTCGATGAGGGGTACAAGGTACAGGTAACAATTAATAGTATTGGTATATTAGCGAGACAGTGTATAATATGAGGAAATTAAAAGTAACGATCACAAAAACATAGAACATTTTACACTTATTTTATTACGGTGTTCGAGTGAAGTAGTATATGAGATGGCCGAAAAATTAAAACAAATTATTAAGCTGCAAGTAGAACATTCTTCGGGTGACATTGACCATACGAGGGGGGGGGGAGGTGAGATGAATCATAGAAAGTGAGTTGTTTCATGTGGGGTAGTATAGGGACACGGAATGAGATTGATGCTAGGAAGTGCAATACAATAATATATAGTGGCTTTCATATTATACGGCACCTCAAAGTATATAGGTGAATATTATTATAATATGCTGCACCATAGGAGACGGGTGCCTACATTGTTAACCTACTAAAATAAACTGTAGAATTTATTTTCATGGATGCAGAATTAAATAATCTCGAGTACCCTCTTCGATGTGTTTAAACGAAAACCCAATAGTTTCATAATCTCACCTCATATGTACAGTTACGAATCACCTCGGTTGAAAGGACACAATAAATCATACTATTTAGCCTCAGTAGCAGTGTTCGATCATATTATCGCATACACTGCGGGTACAATTTAGTCGAACGTATTTTAATCATTTTGATGTTATTCAATATGAGTTAAAAATTACTTACCGATACAAAAAGTCTGCAGTCTGCGCCCGATACTGAATATCAATATTAGCCCTTCCCCCCTCCCTCAAATACACTATTCTTCTGTCAAATCACCGTCTGCTAATACGCGCAATAGATTGATCCCAACAATATTACTACAACAACTGCAGCAGCAATAATAATAATCGGTTATTTTATTTTTATTTTTTTTGGTTCACTCGCAGGATGCAACAGCAGCAGTTCGCCGCCCAGTTGGCGCATTCGGGCGGCCGGCACTTGAATCTCCGGCGGTCCATGTCACCGGGCGCGGTCAGCACCACCGGGTCCGAGTCGAGCATCAGCCTGGGCGCCCCGTCGCCCGGCCCTCCGTCCATGCCGCCGCTGCCGCTCCAGTCGCTGCCGCCCCCGCCGCTACAGTTGACCGGCGACCCGCCCCGCATCGGCCTCACCAACCCGTCGCCGTGCACGTTACCGCAACCGCTGGCGCTGCACAGACCGTTCACGTGATACAGCCCGCCTCACCCGCCGATCACCGCCGGCTGGTGACGCGCCTTCCGCCGACGACGCGCACGGTTTGATTTGTTCATTTTTGGTCGTTTCGTTTTCTCTCTCAATGTTCATAACAACGACAACAACAACAACAACAACAACAATTATAATAATAATAATAATAATATCACCATCCGGCGGCGTCAATTTTCACAAGTCATAACAGTATGACGATTTCCTGTCGAAACCCGCGCAGATTTAATAACTAGACAGCCTGACGCGTGAGTGTGCCTACATAACAATGGGCGATTCCGGTGGCTGGCGTCCAAATTGTTGTCTCCGTGATATATATATAGGCGTATAATCAACAGGCGTGGTGAACTCGACGAAAGTTTTCGAGAGAATACTCATATTATATTCCACCCACTCTAAACCCGGCGAAGGCGCACACGAGCTTATTGCAAATAACGATAAACTTCGTCGTGAAAACAATATTTAGCTATAATAATTTACTGTCAGCCACCAGCGACCGCCCACCCACACCCCAATCTGCTGAGAGGAGGCGATGTCTCTCGATCACCCCGTTTTCGCCACGCCACTGCAGCTGATACAGAGATCTTTGTAATAATAACATAAGTCTGTTATAGTTGTCACACTTGGGCAATGTTGCGAATCGTTATAGGTACCTATCTACTACTGAGCTCGACTTATGTACTAGTTCGAATGTCGGTAGGTACCTATATGCTAAAAAAATATTTCATATCCACTGTATTATTATGTTTTATGGTTATAACATTTTTTTATTTCGCTAATAAATTCAATTAGATAAACATTCAACTATTAGTGTGATTGCTAATCAACGTGTAATACATAATTAACCTTGTGGATCATTGAACAGAAAAAAAAATGAATTCTATGCGTAAAAATATTTGATACCACAATTATTCCAGTATTTAAGTAACTGCCTCCAACAAGTAATATACGGTTTATATACATATAAAATATATAATTCAGTTACTTGTTTCGTATTTCGTTTTATTATCATGCGAACAATTAGTAAACATTGCCCAAGTAGCTATAGAGGCATACTGGGTGCACACGCCATTGTTATTATATTGGAAGGGATTCGGCTGTTTAGTTATAAATCTGTGATCGATGCCATCAGCCGTCGACGTGCGTATTTCCGGTCGGAGATTGCCGAAAACCAAAAATCGAAAAAAATTTAGCGGTACCCTCCTCCCTCCCCACCGTATTGGTATACACTATACATGCATAATATTATTATACATTCATTATTATTATTATTATTATTATTATTATTATTATTATTACTATTATTATTATCATTATCATTATTAAATTATTATTATATTATTATGTTGTAACGCGTTTGTACCGCGTTTGTAAAAATAAAAACATTTTTGCCTTTAATATTTTATTTATACAAATTCTAGTATTAATAGATTTACCATTGTAATTTTTTTGTCGGATGTTCCGATCGATGATACGCGTCGGATGCGTAGATATAATTTAAATCTGTATAAATATACCGATAAACACCCTTCGACTTTATTTGTTTTGTATATTGTTTTAGAGACTTAGTCTACAGTGCATATACCTATTTATATTTACATATTTTAATGACTTTAATTCGAAACGATATAAATGTATAATTTTAGCGTGTAGAATTACCGAGAGACTTTGCACTTTAAATTATATTATATACTTAGTACCGCGATCGTAATATTATTATAAAATATATTAATAATCACAGAAAACATGAACCGCCCCCTATTGCAGCCCCCATAAGTATACATATGTTTATATTATATATATATATATATACCTACGCTTATATTGTACCTATATATATATAAATATATAATATATACTATTACTCTAAGTAGTTTATAGCATTTTGTAAATAGTAATTAATTTTAGTTCGTTTAAACGGTGCAATTAACATTATATAATTTACATAAATATATTGTACAAAAACTATTCTTTATATTATTATGATATTATATACATACACGTAGCAACTGATGTATAGGTATATACTGATATATATATATATATATGTATATTGTATATATATATATTATGATAATATCTATCGTGTTATAATATAATATACTATTGTGTCAATATATATATATTATGTATACGAGGAACATATTATGTAACTTTTTTTTTTCGATTGCTTTAAAGTAATAATCAAACTTATTATAATGCAATAAGGCTCATATGGTTATTACTTATTACAAATCATACGTAGTTTCATTTATTTGTGCTATTTCTCGATGATTTTGTGCGACGCATAGTAATAATATTATTGTATCAATTTACTGCGACCACATTGCAACGGAGCTGTTTGTTAAAACAAAACCGAAATATATATTATTATTAATTGTTTGTTAATTACGTTTTGATTTTTTGATTTTTGTTTCTATTCCGCTCGCGCCTGCGCACACACACCATGCAGTGTCGCCGAGCTATCACGTAGTCGAACCTTGTGCTGTAGACGTTTTAATTGTTGTTTGAACACACACACAACATTTAAAATAATAATATTATAACAAACAAAACGCAGTTTTTTAATGTTAATGCATAATTTAACAATTTAAATGTCTAAATTCTGATTAAAAATGAATAGCTACGTTACGTAAGACACATAAAATAAAATAAAACGTATTCATTATTATTAAGTTATGAGTACATATTTTCGGATATTTTGAAGTAAATACACTTTTTTAAATATTTTAAAAATCAGTAGATACATAGGGATATTTTGTTAAATATTTTGTGTTTTTATTATTTACCTAGTCTCAAGCATATTTGCAAATTTGCAATACTCATTAAAAGAACGTCACTCCCGCATGTGTTGTTTGTGTCTTACAAATGTACAACATAGCAAAAACTGTTTTGGACGAAATAGAACCACTCAAGTCCAAGCTAAGCAACTAAATTTCCATACTATTAAGAATAGAACATTTACTGTAGATCTTTTTTACATTTTTTCGATATCACAAATACAAGAAAATTTTCTTAAAATTTTTTTTTATTGTTTAAAAGTTAATTATTTCAAACTTGAATCTTTTTTTTTTTTTGTATTTGTGGTATCGAAAAAATGTAGAAGATGTTGCACAGTAAATATAGTTGTTTCAGTTCGTTCATTTGTTTTTCTATTCAGTAAGTTACTTTTTTTTACGATTTAAATTTTTTATAAATTAATTTTCAGCAACAACTTTTAGTCAAGTATTTCATATTTTTTAAGTACATATTTTGGCAAAAATTAGAACATAAGACTAGACCGAATTAGCCCTAATGGCCAATCATAACACATATTTTCTTATGAGAAAAAAATCGACAACGCGTGTGTGTTATAATATACTAGGTTCTAGGTATGAATATTGTTGGATATTATATGTGTGGTCGTTTGGCGTGTAGAGTACGAAACAGCACTGCACGTACGCGGGTACAATGCGTTTGTGTCTTGTGAGTGACACTGCCGAAGATAATTCATCGAATTCCTGGTGATACGTGATTTATTTGAAGACGAACGGATTACACTGGACGAATAATAATAATAATAATAATATTAATATAGTATTGGACGCACACATATCACTTGTCCATCTCACACGGGTATAATATGATTTTACATTATATTAAATGGTGGCTTTATTTATTATTGTAATCGTTCTTTTTTTCGGCATTTCTCGGCAACCTGTCAATTTAAGAAGCATTACAGTATTTAGGGGCTACCTAAGCGGTCTGCCGCAGGTAGGCAATAAATAAAACCAACATGTACAATGTACATAGGTATAATACGAGTATAATATTATAATATGTTGTATTGTTATTATAGTTTACTGCAATATAATAGTATCACCCATTATTATCATTGTGATAGGTAGAATAACGGCCGGACGGAAACAATATCTCGTAGATGGTACGCACTTATGGTCGGAGTGCTGTTCGCCCATTAAAATTAAATATTTAAAATCGCCCATTTAAAATACCCACAATTCATTATTGTTATAATATAATTAAACTATTATACTATTATTGTTTGTACTACACATAGGTAGGTACCATACGAGGTTGTTCTTATAATCCACGAATCGCTTTTCCGATACGATCTGAATATATAGTGTGTATATATAGAAAAATAAAAGGTATAATGTACCATAATGCATTAAATAATAATACGATAAAGGTCTTAGATGGTACAACAGCTTAATCGTTATTTGATACATACGTTTATTACTATTGTAATCGTGTTCATGAGGCGCTTTTATGAATTGGCTAATGTTGGTAGCGAGATATATTTTGATAAATTAGGCATCACCTATATTCAATTAATGCGAACAAAAGGCTTTGCTAAATTGAGCATCATATTAGTATTTAAATTTAAGGGGTAGGTACTTGATTAGTGCAAACTTAAAAAATAATTTATACGAGAGCGATTACATGAATGTCCCGTCTATGTAAAAAGAATTGTTTAGTATTGGTAATATTATACATTACAATTTATATTGTACATATAAGTACATACAGTAGAACGTCATTGATTCGGACTAATTGGGGCTCTAGGTTGTCCGAAATAATGAAAGTCCGGATTAAACAAAATAATCAAAAATCTTAAATTATAAATTCAAAAAAAAATTTATTGGATGAAATGCATCATCAAGGGATTGATCAAGTGGTAACCGCATTCTTTTTACCTACAACACTTGTTTCTTTTTCTACATTAAATTTCAAAACACATTTTCTTACATCATCTTTTTATACCGTTTTCGTGTTTATTTTAATCTACGGCATAAACTAGCGTAATTTACGTATTTTAAACGGCTGTCCGGATTAAACGAAGTCCGGAATAATGAGGTACAGATTAATGAGGTTTTACTGTACAATCTATGAGGTTTGTTTTTGATACGAATTCGGGTAGTTTGAGGATGTTATTCGGTTCCCTGTTTAAGAGCTTAAATACGTATTTATATGTTACTTTTAAACCTAGCCGAGTTTTGTTAAAACGTAAAAAACTCCTATGAACATATTTTTCATTCAGAACACTTGAAATAAATCGTTGTAACTATAGGACAATAGGATAATGTTTAAATAGTTTTAAGAACTTCTTGATGCCTGTATATAGCTTTCTTAAAATTGTATCATGGTTCATATTTTATTGATCTCAAGAGGCCTAAAGCGCAAGTGGCGTCGTGATTTGTTACATAAAAAATAAATGATTATATTAATCAAGTAATCACGGGAGGTGTTATCAATATAAAGTGGCCCCTTTCATCAGAATAATGTTAATAACCTGTCATATTTGTTGCTTTTGGCCTATATTTTTATTGTATCAGATGATGCAGACTGTATATTGCTTGTCAAAAAAAAAATGTATTGAATATAGCTATACGGCCATACAGATGTGTTATATATATACGATTTAAACAGCCAAAATTATTAGGTTAAAACGTAGGTACTCGAGTTGCCTAGTAGTTGTTTAAACGTGATAGATAAAATAGTTGTTACAACCGACATGCCAAAACAACGAATCTTACATAGGTAATTATAATAATATACATATTTTGTTGTTTTAAATAATTTAGATTTATACAATTCGTTCAACACTTTTAAGAATGAGTTTTTGTTTCAACATATTCGCCGAACAGTTTACTTACAATTTCCGTGTTTGATAACTATACACAATTTTTCAACTGGTATGCGTTAAATTTTTGTGAAAACAGTGCAGTTCTGTGTAGTGTATAAACAGCTTTATAT